AAAGTAGGCCCTAATCTTCATCATGGGATGGACTCAAACTAAAAAATTTCTACTCAGCAAAAGAAATAATCGGTGAGGTGAATAGAGAGCCTACATCTTGGGAGCAAATCTTTACCCCTCACACATCAGATAGAGCACTAATTTCTAGGGTATATAAAGAACTCAAAAAGCTAAGAACCAAAAAACCAAATAACACAATCAATAAATGGGCCAAGGTCCTGCCCTACATTCTTGATGGTATACAGTAACTTGAAAGTGTTTGTAAAAGGTAAAATAGATCATGTCATATTCCTGCAGTTCCAGTGGTTTCACATCATCCAGTGGTTTCACATCATGTTTAGAACAAAACCCAAAGTATTTACACCATGACATCGAGGCTGGACCTACTCTGGCCCTCATCTCTACCACTTTTCCATTGCCCCCTCCTCTGGGCCTTCTTGCTGCGCTTTCTCACACAGGTGCTACTCATTTGAGCCTCAGGGTCTTTGAACCTGTAGTTTTCTTTTTCCTGGAAAGTCTTTTCCAGATATTATTCACATAGCTTATTTTGCAGAGACTTTTTTTTTTTTTTTTTGGTGGTGGTGGTATTGGGGATTGAACCCAGGGGCACTTTACCCCTGAGTTGCATGCCCCAGCCCTTTTTCATTTTTGAGACAGAGTCTTGCTAAGTTGCCCAGGCTGGTGTCAAATGCACAATCCTCATGCCTCAGCCTCCCAAGCACTGGAATTACAGTCGCGTGCCACTGCCCAGAGACTTTGATGATACCTAAAACGGCATCTTTCTTCAATTTTCCTACAGCACGTATACTACTTAGCCAATATCAGCAGTGTCTCCTACTAGAATGTACCATCCAGGACAAGGAGGACTTGCTCATCTTGGAGCCCTTGTGGCTAGAACTGTGCTTGGCCTATATAAGGCAACACTACATCCTAGAAGGAAGGAGAACTCCAAACCTGCTAAACTCTTCCATCAAGGCAGTAGTGAAGGGGCTGGGGATGTGGCTCAAGCGGTAGCACGCTCGCCTGGCATGCGTGCGGCCCGGATTCGATCCTCAGCACCACATACAAACAAAGATGTTGTGTCCGCCGAAAACTAAAAAATAAATATTAAAATTCTCTCTCTCTCTTTAAAAAAAGAAGGCAGTAGTGAACCCAGAGCAACTCTGCCCATGATTTGTTATGATAGTCTATGCTTTTCTGCTACTAAATATCTATAAAAGCCCATGAAATTCTCCTGGGAAACTGACCATGACCCTCACCAGACTGAACGGAAATTCCTGGACCAATTATTAAGAAGCCAAATACTCCTTTTAGGGTCTTGTTTACAGACATCATGTCTCAGCTACATGGCAGCAAATGCTCATCCCTGCATGAGGAGCTCAGCACCTCTCCATGTGACACCCAGGGCTGAGTGCTGTTTGTGCTTTGGTACCAATTGGCAGAGTGTTTTCCTCAGGAGATCTTCTCTCACATTCTCCTTCTTATAGCTCTATTCTAAACATGTTCCTTTACTGCTTCACTCCAGGACATTATTCCATTCTTCTTCATATCTCACATTCTATCCAAGGCTCACTAAGATCTCTGCATGCCCTGGGAAAGCTGACAACTTTAGGCCAACATTCTTTACCAACTCGGATGGGCAGAGGTTCAAGTCTCATCAGAAAGCACTTCCTAGCCTTCTGCTGTTCCTCAAGCATTCTTGTGGAAATTTCAGCCCAGCACTTCCCCAAACCCTCACCACCCCCTTCTGAGCATCACAGTCAAAACGTTTCTTCCTTCCACATGTAACAACCTACATGGAATTACTTTCCTTAAACACAACTCTCTCTATTTATGATTATAATTAAGCACTTTCCATTTGCACAATCCTGGCTGGTCTGTGGTAGTCTAACTTATTCATAATAATAGTTATACAATTATTTTTTATGGTTTATTTGTTGAATGTTGACATTGCCCATTAGCCTTTGAGCAATGTGAACAGCAGCTGTTTTGTTCCGCATTATATGCTTGGTGTCAATAACGCCTGATAATGATAGATGCTCAATAAACACCTAAAGGAACAAAAGACTTGAGACATGATGCATTAGATTAGCTTTGAATGTGCATATTCACAGCCCTTTGTATGATGTGACATATCGGGTAATCTTATTTCCCAGTCAGAGACCAGATAGGTCATGACAAATTAACCAGTACACTTATCTAATTTATGAGTGGCATTTTGAAAATCATACTTTCCTGTCGTATTTTCTTTTGCTCATCCATACCAGACTACAAATCCTAAGTGGGAAGGGAAGGAACAACTCTCTTCCTAACTCTCTCTCTCCTGAAGCCAAAAGCCCAGCTGCACATGCGAAAATAAAGACTGAGCAATGACTGAACTGCCCTTTCCTTTACCCATTCTGTGAACTAGGCCCACTCCGCTGGACACATTTACTATCATCTAATTAACCAGTTTAAACAATAAGAAAAACTTACAAAATGCTATAGCAATATTTTTAGAATATGGTGATTATAAATACAATGTAAACTAATAAAAACAAAAACATGAAATATTCCCGTACAATTTCTCATACTAATCTTTCATCCCTCATAATTCGCTGTTGTGATGACATCCCAGTTTTTATAAAAAACAGAGAAAAAGAAATTTTGAACATTATTGCCTATGGTATTGAGGCAGAACAATCATAATGATAAATATCTGCAAACATTTACTGATATTTATAAACACTAGACATTTACATTACTTTCTTACTTAATCTTCCCAATAATCTTAGAATAGATCATGTTACCCCCATTTTGTCACTGGGTGAAAACGAGGACTAATGAGATTAAATAACTTTCCCACATTCAGTACTATGAGTGAGAAGCCAGGATTCCAAGTGGTACATCTTTGATCTCCAATCTCATGTTCCTAGTAACCATAGCACAGTCCAGCAGGTTTATGATTACACAAATTTTTATTCTTAATATGAAATATTTGCCAAGTAAAACACACTACATGAAAAATATACCACTAACAAATGTATTCATGCATGTATTATGTAGAGTTTTAAAAAGATCTTCTGCAATGAAATATTTTCAAAAAAATTAAATTTTAGCCATCTATTTTATATATTCATATTAAATAAAAACTAACTCTCCCATAAAATGATGATGGCAAATAAGATTTCTGTTTTGTTTCCTTCATTAGTGAGTCAAAACTATATAAAAGGCCATGAGCAACATTAAAATATCTATTAATCAACTGCATAATGAAATCGGTATTTCTTTTAAGTAGTATCGCAGGAAGACTGGACTCGACCATTACACATAAACATATATAAAAAAATGCAGTGTACAAAGTAGTAAGTTTCACTGCATGCTAATTCCTAGTTCTCAGAAAAACATTATATCTCTGAATTCAGAAAGAAATACATATTTGTTTTGTCTTTCAGTTATGTTATTATTTAGAGATTTGTGTATTTGCATCAGCAATATTTGTGATACGAAATAGGGCTTGACTTGAATAAAACCCCCGAACAGAATCCCCAGTCCCTCTTTTTCCTCTACCTTTTCTGTACAGGGTCAGGAGACCAGTACCTGGCCCATAATGGCACAGAAGACAGTGGTTTTCTGGTAAGCAGTGAGTGCTTACAGCTCAAAGTTGTAGACTAAAATTCCTGTATGCTCTGAATCATGAAATTTTAATATTGTTAACTTGGGAAGGTGAAATTCATTTCAGTGTTATAAAAAAATGTAACATGCAAATGGTGAATAACACAGTTCTTCAGTATGTTTGCAAAACTTTCTCTAAGTTTGCAATCCAATATAATCTCTCTCTATTGAATCCTACTTTACATAAGAACCCAAACTACCATGTTTACTAGCATTTTATGAGAAGACCGTGTTTTATGTATTCATTAATCATATTTTCATTACAGGCCTCAGTAGTCAATACAATGTCAAAGCAAAAACTAATATATCTTAATCTAGCATCATTTGTAGGCACAGAAGACAAAATACATTCACATCTCATTTAAAAGGGAATGAGTCAATGATTATGGGCTTTTACATTTCTATAGATGGTAGGAAGAAAGAGACGGTATGATGTTATCACAATTTTTTCTAGTAAAACTTTTGGGAAAAAACAACTTGGAGAAAATAACTTCATGATCAGTTGCATAACTACCAAAATTTAATGAAATAACTAGGTATTATTACACACAGTCATGTGTCACAGTATCTCTCTGCCTTCTAAACCCTAGAAGAGAATGTTTATATTTCATTTAAAAATATTTCTGTTACATTAAGTCATCCTGTTATTTAAAATAATACTGAGACTTATAAGATGATAATAACTGAGCTCCCTGATATTTTTTTTATAATCGAACAACTAACTTCAACACAATAACTTTATTAATTATTTATTTATTTTTATGTAGTGTTGAGGATCGAACCCAGGGCCTTGCAAGTGCTAGTTGAGTGCTCTACCTCTGAGCCACAAGCCCAGTCCTAGAATTATTTTAATGGTAACCTACAAGTCACTCAAAAGTGAATGATTAGATTTCAGGAATTTCAACTTCATCCCATTTTTTATTACTGCAATAATAAAATAAGTTCCAGTCTAAACAAAATAAGGAGAAACATCCTGATTTACTTTTTAAAAGAATTCATAATGACTAACTTCTATGAGGGATCCAAACACTACATACATAATCTCACTCGCTACAAACTTCCCTTGTCATCTGACCATTTAAAGGTAAGCATTACTTTGCAGATTTAGATCCCTGAATTCTGACATTAAATGACCTAATAAAAATGCAGACTAACTAAGGGAAACCGAAGCAAATATCTACACAAATATGGTTCCTACTAAACTGTGCTCTATTCAATGGCTGATCAGTAGTTTTCTTTGAATGTAGGGTTTGCATACAGCTAAGAGTGTACTCATTGAATAAATGAATAAATGAACACTTTTCTCTAGTGCCGAAATAAATCAGGGCTTTCTTTGTGTCTCTTACCTTTGCCATGGCTTCTCCCATCCTCCAAAAGCGGCACGACGATAGTGTTGTTCACATTTCCAGGTGACCGTACAGCTGTGTAGACAACAGGCACCGACTGTACCACCACGGGGATGCGGTGAACATGACTCAGTTTGTTAGACTGTAAATTCATGGGACTTGAAGGCGGTACAGGATGGATAATGTGCAAAAACTGCTGGCCTCCCACGCCAGACGCAGAGGCAACAAGGGGTCCTGGAGTTAATACTGTTGACGAAGACGATGCTGAAGATACTGATGTTATAACAGTTGGGGATGAGGCTGGACGACTAGATGAAGATGAAGAGGTTGAAGTGGAAGAAGGTGAGGAGGCGGATGCTGTCATGGAAACTGGGGAGGATGAAACGGCAGTGGGGGACGTCCTGGCTTTGTTTATTGACAAGTCCACTGGCTCAGTTTGTGTTTGGAAGTGATCGACGGATAATGAGTCCTCCGGGGGCTCCCCTTTCACATTATTTAGCAACAGGGGTACAGCTTCCATATCGGGGTAGTTGTGGACGTTTGGAGACTGTGGGGAGAAAAACAGAACACATGTTTACCTTTGTTAATTATACATTTTAATAGATGTAGGATTCATTACTTGAATGTTTATTAATTTTTTTTTCTTGTTGCCATAAGATGTTAATTTGTTCCCCCAATATTGGAAGAATTGTTCGGTGACCATCATGGTGATTAAAACTGAAGGTACAAAAGTACAAAGCAGTAAGACAAGTCCTCTGCCATAAAGACATTTTCATTCCATCAAGGAAGAGCAACACAATTATTAAAATAGAGTGAAATCAACGCTTTACAGAAGAAAAAGAGGCCACAGGAATATAAGAATGAACAGAAAGTTACACAGAATCTTCTAAAAGACAAGTTCAGAGTATAAAGTTTTATCTACTTGTAACTGTATAAATACAACCTATTTAATTAAAAGTTTCCTTTTGTTGGTTTGATTCATCACCTGCATTATGAGTCTTGGTTTCCTGTTTTAAACTTATGCTAGTTTTCATTAGATAAACTTAAATATCCTTTGCAGCTCTGAAATTCTACAATATAATGTCTACCCTTATTCAAATTATCATAACTTGGAGACATAATATCACTTGTAGTGACCCTGGGGAAACTCACTACATTTCCACTTTCACATTTCCTGGAAGAACTACTATAGTTATGTTCATTTTGAACATTAGAAAAGAACACAAAGTTCTTCAACCTCCCAGGTCTGATAACTAAATTACTAAATAGTAGTCATTTCTAATGACTGAATTACAATTTATTCAGCATATGACAAATTTTTTTCTTAAAAACGTATACAACTACTATACTGGTATTTTAGAAAAAAAATCTTATACTGACAACTTCAACTGGTCTATGGTTTTTGGTTTAATTTAAAATAATAATAATTGTGTCCAAGTTCATTTGCATTTGTATAAATTTTAGTAAGATAAATTTACTAACAAAGACCTCAAGATCTGACCCAGACTAATGTTCTCAGCATGCTATCAGTGGGCATGAGTATATCTCTATTCATATACTTTTCACTCATAAATTTAAGAAGCACTTACTGATTGTCTGCTTCTGAGACCTCAAATAGCCCAATGGTTCTACTGGTGTTATGTCAGTCTAGCCTTGACAAAGAGCTAGCCTAAAACAGGTTATTTTGGTAACATTTAATTTATCCAGGCTAGAATGCATGTTATTATTCTATTAGATGAAGACCAAACTCCTCAGCTTTTTTATGACAATTAGACAATAATGTCTAAAATTATGTTAATTTATTATTTCAGTCTTGGTTTCATAAAAGATTCTGGCTTGTTATTCTCCACCAAAATATGAGCCTACATTTTTAAAAAAATGTGTTTCCAAAAGCCTTTCTTTATAGAATATAAATTATAGCTCCATTCAAAATATAAAATAGGCAATAATGCAAGAGCATTTTATTCATCAACAATGAGGGGGGAAAATGCATCAACTAAATCAGATCAACTAAAAAGGAAAATGGGCTGATGTGTTAATGGTTTTCTTTTTTTTTCTTCTTCCTAACTAGTATGGCTAGTTACCTAAAAAAAATGTGAATTAAGGAAAAAAAAAAGAACCATTCAAAATATCTCCTGTATGAAATTCTAAATGACAAGGTTTTCATTTATGTGCTGAAATATAATGTTTTAAATCAAAGACATTAAGAAAAACAAAACAAGCACCATAAATTGAATTTTTTAGTAAAAAGTTATGAGTACCATTTACTCTTCCAATAAGAACAGTATTTCAGTTTGTTCTCAGCATTACCATTTAATTTCTTTGTAGAATTATGTCAGGTGTTTCTTATTAGTATGTTATACACATATGGAAATTCTTTGTTGAGGCTGCTTTCATACCAAGGTACCAACTGGATTATGATTAAAAATATAAAACACATCATTAAGTACATGGACTGAATGCCACTGGTTTGACCTTAAATATACTCTTGATCAGCTCCTCTCTTCTTCTTAGGTATTAGACATTCCCCAAATCCTTATTTTGGAAAGAGTTATTATTTCCACTGCAATTTTTTCTCCGCATACCTATCTTAGCCATAGGTGCCTCCGTGCATTTACAAACCAAGGGCTGGGAGTACTTCAGTGCTGTAGAAACAGGTGATAATGACACTAGCAGGTGACAACAATACAGGAGCTGAGAAATGCACAGCTTGTTTGCAAAGAGATTGCTTCTGAGGCCCTGAGGCCTCACTGGGCTTTGCAAGCAGCTCAGACTTCTCTGGATGATTAACAGGAGGCTGCTGGTTTCTTTGGTCGGTTTCTGCTTCATTCCTGGCTAAGAAAACACCTATTCCTTCAGCTGTTGTACAGGGACAGAAGAGTTTCTCTCCCAATTCCCTTGCCTATGCTGGAAAGCTGAGAAGACCAAATACTAAGAGTCACTAGGTGCTTTCAGACACTTGAGAATTGCCATCTCTCATGTGCTCCAACCGAAACAGAGAAATTACTCATAAAAATAAGGAAGAATAAACCAATCAAAGACTTGGGGCCTAGGACAAATTTATGCATGAATCTATAAATGCAAACATCCACAGAGACACAGGGTGCTTCCTTTTGCATGTGTGGCAGCTGAAGTGCAGGCAGCATATTCAAAAAGAACACTTCATCAGTATAATCAGGACAAAAATCTCTCCTGTACCATTCATCTGTATTCAGTGTTGACATAGCATTGCACTTGGACAGCCCCTACTTGTATGATATGATAATGTGGCAGGTAAAGCCATCCATAATTCCAGGTTCGGGCTGCACAAGCATATGGGTAAAGCCAGCCACACTGCAAAGACGTGGATTCAAAATGGCTATGGTGTGCTCCTGTTCCTCCTGTTAAGGAAAAGACCTGATAGGCTCAGCCCTGAAATCAGCATTAGGAATCCATTGCTTTACTCCTGGGGAGTGGAAACTGAAACTCACTGGTTCTGAGGTTTGGACCCTAAAGGGGAAGCTTCAGTGAGGTACCTGGAGCACAGGAGATGGCCAAGAGGAGAAGTAAAGGTGAGGACAAACAGAGGAAAACAGGAAACCAGCCCCTGGGCAGCTGGAAGCCAAGGGAAAAGACCACCCACACTGGGGAGGAGCGGGGACATGTCACCCAGGAACAGCCTTGAAGGGACAGGGACCCCAAGAAGACAAGACATAACAAAGAACATTTGGAAGCATGATGAGGAAGACAAGCTTCTGTAAAAGTACTGAAGAAAGGCTTTCATACTAAAACTTGACCCTTGTTTACTAATGCCTCAGTTCTTGATACAACATTGATGGACTACTCACGGCAGGTTCGAAGGAATGTTTTGTGTTTGCAAATAAACTCCATCCAGATTTTTGCCTGGGAGTGACGCTAGCTGAATTTTTGCTATTGGTTCCCCTGGTATGAGAACACTGGATTTTTATCAAAGAGAGTTATTTTATTTTCTAAAAGATGTTATCTCTAAAAGTGTATGAAATTTAAAAAAGTTTTATACTATGTATTAAGAAGTACTGGCTGGGTGCAGTGGCACATGCCTATAAATCTCAGGGGTTTGTGAGGCTGTGGCAGGAGGATCACAAGTTCAAAGCCAGCCTTAGCCACTTAGTGAGGCTGTAAGCAATTTAGTGAGATCCTGTCTCAAAATAAAAATATAAAAAGGTCTGGGGAATGTGGTTCAGTGGTTAAGTGCTCCTGGGTTTGATCCCAGGTGTCATAAAAAGAAAAATACGTAAATAAAAAAGAGAGAGAGAAGGAAAGAAAGAAAGAGAAAAGGAAGTAATAGCATAAATACACACAAAAGTCCAGCAAGGGAAACAGAACAATATATTTCATAAGCAATGTGTGTGAAAAATATACGTGGAATCCGTTGTCACATATTATTGTTTTTTCACAAATCTGAAGGTTAGTTTTACTCATTATAATCTACTCAAAGTATTATACAGAACGTTCTAATGAACATGTTCTTTTAAGTATTCTGGAGACCGCTTTTGAGCTTTGCTACAGACATATATTTTTTCTGAATAAACATCTGAAAATGTAACTTCAGCTTCAGGCATTTTGCTGAATGAAAGCAAGAAGGCATCTAAAACCCCCCACTTGTTAGTTTCCAGAGTACTAGATGAATTTCCCTCAGTCAATCATGGAGTTTATTATGGTCTGCCACTGAGTAAGAAGCATTTCTAATGCTGTTCATGTGTTTTAATCACCTGGAATTTTTAAAAGGAAAAAACCATGTCTGACACACCCTATCTTTGGAAAGCCCTTTAGAGAATGTTATGAGTTGCCAGGTTGGGGACCATATGAATAATACACGGCTAAATGTTACCCAAGACTATATACTTTCTGTTTCATCTAATGGTACTAGGGATTTTTGGAGAGGTGGCCCTTGCACACATACATGATGGTGACAATTATCCATCCATCATTTTAAAGAACTGTTTTATTTTGGTTTTACAATTTTTTTGAGAAATAATTTCATGGCAGTTTTTAGAAAAGATTGTGAAGTGACTTGTCTAACATCACCTAGCTTGTGGTTAACTATGAAAAAGACCTTTGTTTTGTAGCCTGTTGTGTGATACTTTAGGAGGAAAATGAGATTTGGGGATAAAAGTACTTGAGCTCATGACCTGCCCCTGCTACTTATTAGCTGTGCTATCTTGGCAGCATCACTAAAATTCTCCAAGTCTCAGCTTCTCAATCTATAAGGGAGTAATGTTAAGTCCAAGTTTGTTAAATTGTTGTAAAAACAGAACTAAAGTTATCAAGCACTTTTAACCGTGAGAAATGTGAGAGACAAGCAGATGAGCAGACTTATGTCTTCTTAGAACTAAAAATTCCAGACACAATGCCATCTATTACTAAAACCATCTCAGAGGTGACCCGATTCACTGAACGCAGCATGAGATGTATTCTAATTCTGGATCATGGACAGTCGTTGCCAAACAACCAAATAGATCAGGGCTACAAAAGCAACTGAACAAATTGCTTTAGAGACCACTTAGGACTTAAAAAATAGAAATTCTG